TACATACATACATACATACATACATACATACATACATACATACATACTTATAATATGTGGAGGAAATGGCTTAACTAGCAGAAAAAGACCTTCAGCAAAGTCAAACTTTGCATATGAAAATCTTTTCCGGAGGAGATACAAATGACATTTTCCTTCCAAGGTATCCCGGATTGGATGATGCTGTGAATGATGATGTAAAAGATAAACTGGAACTTGTTTTAGATAAATAAAGCAATTCTAACTGATAATGTTTTTATGGGATTATATGATAATCTTTTGTTTGTTTTCTTTCAGCTAAAACAAACATAGTGCTCTTATTTTTTTCAAACATCTGAGCTAAAGGTTGAGTATCAGCCCTGAGATATCCTCCTGGTAAATTTAAGGCAAATACAGATGCAAATGATTCTGATTTGTGTCATGGAGTGTTCACAGCGAACATCGTGTTCGAGGACAAGGCGGCTCATCAGTGGTGGGCCGTCAGGGCCCGATGAAGGCCCGATCCGTCTGTAGATCTCCAGCTCCACTGTAACCCCAATAGTGAAGGATGCAACCCTAAGGCCACCGTGACCTGACCCCGAACTTTCCTCCTGGTAAATTTTAGGCAAATGCAGATGCAAATGATTCTGATTTGTGTCCCTTCAGATGTGAACAACAAAACCTTTTGAATAAGGAATTGATGCAGGGTGTTCAAAGACACAAACTGATTTGTGATTTATTCAAATGAAGGTCCATCCTCCCTTGGCTGCCACCTTATCGTGGTGAAGGGGTTTCCATGTCATGTTTTTGAAAAGGTTCTCTAAATGAGTGAAGCAAAGTTTTTTAATAATTAGAGATGATCGATCTTGTCCAATACAGAGATTTATTCGAAGGCAACAGCGTTCGAAGACGCAGATCATAGAGTAGACTCAAGTGAATGCTTGCCGATGGAAATGCACGTCCCCTTACTTAACATAGTATGGATAAAGGAAAGGAAAAGGCCACTGTGTTTCTTATGAGCAACAAACAAAGAGATTCTGATTTACTTTTCAGTCCTCAAGGAAGTCCCACAGCGGTTCTGGAGAGGAGGGTCCGCCGGATAGTCGAGTCTCGGATTGAGGAGGAACAGTGTGGTTTTCATCCTGGCAGTGGAACGCTGGACCAGCTCTATACCCTCAGCGGGATCCTGGAGGGTGCATGGGAGTTCGCTCAACAAGTCCACAAGTGTTTTGTGGACTTGGAGAAGGCGTTCGACCGTGTCCCTCGGGGTATCCTGTGGGGGGTGCTCCGGGAGTATGGGGTACCTGGCCCTTTGTTACGGGCTGTTCGGTCCCTGTACGACCGGAGTCAGAGTTTGGTTCGCATTGCTGGTAGTAAGTCGGATCCGTTTCCGGTGGGAATTGGGCTCCGCCAAGGTTGCCCTATGTCTCCGGTCTTGTTCATAACTTTTATGGACTGTCACGTCTGGGGGAATGTCTAGTGTCTCGTCATGTCTTGATTACCTATTGTGTACACCTGGGGTTCCCCTCCCTCATGTGTTTAAATAGTCCTCGTTTCCCATGTCCTGTGCCAGTTCGTTTGCGTCTTGCGTCTTTCGTCTTCCGTCTCCCCATGTCACGTAAGGTTTTGCTTTTGCTCCATGCCATAGTCTTGTTTTTGTTCCATAGTCATGTTTTTTCACAGTTTTGCCACAGCCTTGTTTTTTAACCTTGTCTGGACTTCCACTCTTTTGAGTGTTTTTTTGTTCCAATAAACCCTGTTTTCTGCATCTCCGTGCCTGAGTCCTCCACCAAGATCCACCTCCCTGACATGGACAGGATTTCCAGGCGCAGTCGAGGTGTTGAGGTTGTCAGTCTTGGTGGATTTAGTATTGCATCTCTGCTTTTTGCAGATGATGTGGTCCTGTTAGCCTCATCAAGTCGGGACCTACAGCTCTCACTGGAGCGGCTGGGATGAAGATCAGTGCCTCCAAGTCCGAGACCATGGTCTCTCACCGGAAAAGGGGTAGAGTGCTTATCTGGGTCGGAGCGAACGTCCTTCCCCAAGTGGAGGAGTTCAAGTATCTCGGGGTCTTGTTCGCGAATGGGGGTAGGGAGCGTGATATTAATAGACGGATCGGTGCGGCGTCTGCAGTAATGCGGGCGCTGTACCGGTCTGCCGTGATGAATAGAGAGCTTAGGTCAAAAGGCGAAGCTCTCAATTTATCGGTCGATCTACGTTCCCACCCTCGTCTATGGTCACGAAGTTTGGGCAGTGACTGAAAGAACGAGATCCCGGATACAAGCGGCCGAAATGAGTTTCCTCCGCAGGGTGGCTGGGCTCTCCCTTAGAGATAGGGTGAGAAGCTCGGCCATCCGGGAGGGGCTCAGAGTAGAGCCGCTGCTCCTCCACGTGGAGAGGAGCCAGTTGAGGTGGCTCGGGCATCTGATCAGGATGCCTCCTGGATGCCTCCGTGCGTTTCTCTCTTTAATATTCACGTCTGTGATGTTTCTGATCTTAATCCTCATCTGAGGGGTTTGTTTTTATGTTTTGTTTTTTGGGAGGTGTTCCCGGCTCGTCCCACCAGGAGAAGGCCCAGAGGAAGACCCAGGACACGCTGGAGGGACTATGTGTCCCGGCTGGCCTGGGAATGCCTCGGGATCCCCCCGGAGGAGCTGGCTGAAGTGGCAGGGGAGAGGAAAGTCTGGGTTTCCCTGCTTCAGCTGCTGCCCCCGCGACCCGACCCCGGATAAGCGGAGGATAATGGATGGATGGATGGATGGAAGTCCCATGGAGAATCTCCAAAAGGATTAGGCTATGCATAGTCTCAGGAGACAGGAAAGGGTCCCCATGTGGATTGATCAAAAGGAGAATCTTCTCAGGTGTGAGGATGGCACAAAGGGCAAGTCATACAATTTCAATGATAAGCACAAGAAT